TTTTGAAAGTGTTCCGGAAGGTCTGACACTTTTATATATATCTTAAATTAAAGCTCATGTAATATACTTTATTATGGTAAAAAAAAATTTCGGACTTTAATTTATCTTCATGGTGAAAACAGACATCAAATTTTATAAAAAAAAATACGATTTTTGTAAAAAAATTCTTTTTTATATTTTTAACTTTATAATGCTATAACTTTTTGAAAGATATATAGATCAATATAATTATTTTTTTTATAGATGCATGATGTTTTTACCTATCATTTGGTATATATTTTTTTTATATCTGACCCTTTACCTGCCCACAGGGGGGGATTTAAAATGACAACTTTTTCACAAAATATTGACCTTTTCAACTTAAATTTTGAAACTGTTCCGGAAAGTCTGACACTTTTATTTATATCTTAAATTAAAGTTAATGTAATATACTTTATTATGCAAAAAAAAAATTTCGGTCTTTATTTTATCTTCACGGTGAAAATAGCTACCGAATGCTATTATTATGTGAAAATTCTCGATTTTATTTTTTACATTTTTAACTTTATAATGCTATGACATATTGAAAAGTGTATGGATCCACACAATTTTTTTATGAGAAATAATATTTTTTAATAAACCCTTTTTCATTTGACATACTTTATCTTAATCAGGATATTACTAAGGAACTAACAAATCATGTAGCTTTTGGAACAATCCACCAATTTTTTAAAATTAAACACTATCTAAAGATTTGCATCGAAGCGTTTATTTTTGATAGTGATTTTAATCACTGTCAGATATCATTATACTTGATCCATCTATGCCACGTCACCACTGTGCCGCGACCCCCTGTGCTGGGTTTTTTTTTTTTAAATTAAATAAAGTAAATGTTAATGGTTATAACCATTTTAACCAGTTTTTAAGCATATATTTCTTATATTCTTGCATTATAAACTAGAAAAGATTTTTGTAAAGTTTAAATAAAAAGAACACAGCCCTAAGAAAATATAAAAATTTTATTTATAAATGAAATCAAACAAGAGCCATGCATTATTAAATTTTAATCTACCTATATAGGTCAGCTAGGCTTTTAAAAACTAAAATTGCAAACAAACTCTGTCGTATATAGTACAATTTTTAAAAATGCTTTATAAAAATTCAATCAAACTTAGTTAAAAATAAGAAATTATTAGTATTTCTAAAGTTTATGACAATTATGAAATTTTAAGTTAATGCAAAAAAAAACCTCTTAAATTTTGTTTAAATATTTATATTCGAACTGGACCTCAAAAATTAGGCTTACATAAATATGATGGGAATATTAGTAAAAAATAATAGTATTTAAAAAATAATTAATAAAGATTATATAAATAAAACTTTAATATATTTATATTATTGTTATAGTATATGTACAATGTTTATATCAAAAATTTATAAATAAAAAAAAAAACCTATAATTAATATTTACTTTATTAAAGAAATTCAAAAAGTGCAAAAATATTTATCGACCGATTTTGTAAAAATAGCGAAAACATAACATTATACAGGCATTTTAAAATAATAAAAATGACTTAAGTTGATCAATATGTAAATTTTATATTTTTAATTTCATTTAAAAATACCTCTAAATAATTGAAATTCAAATAGTAGAAAAAATTATAAAGACAAAAATTAAGTTTAAAATTTGACTTCAGACTTTTGAATATATTCAATTAATTTATACGCCATGACTGAATTTGAAAACATAAATTCCAATGAAAACATTTTCTTTAATACATTTTCCTATTTCCATAGTTTAAGAGTGAATAGAAACAGGGTTTGTGCAAAGAAGGGTATCTATACTCTTACCTATATAGTGACTCTGCAGACAGAGTTTATTATTTAGTAATTTTTCTATTTATCCCTAAGGTTTTGTTCATTACCTTGTACTGTGTTTTACGTAAAATCCACTCTTTATAAACATTGTTTTAATTTAGTTTTTTTAGTATAATAGTGATCTAACTACCGTCATCAAAGCTGAAAAGTTAATCCTCACTAGACACCTATCCATGTGCTGATAATACATTAAAACACTACTAATCTTGTTATAAATTATTTAGTAATAAGTCATTCGACGATAAAAAAAAAAAATTGTCTCAAACTTTACAATTAACTATAATAATTAAATATATATTTTATAATAAACTATAACATATATTCGTTAAAATTCTTAAGTATGATGCTATTGTTTGGAGTTATCATTCTTCATCTGATCCCTGTCAAATTGAAAGAGTGCAACGGAGATTCTTCGGTATGCTAGATTTATGTTGGATTTCAACATGTCCCTCATGATTATACTCCCGTTGCAAACAAATTCAATTTGACATCGTGGCGGATCGCAGATTTGATGCAGGGTTAAAATTTTTAAATGGATTGCTGGATGGTAAAATTGACTCACTCTATCTCTAGTCATTAATTAATTTTAAAGTTCCATGGAGAAATTCACGTTCCTATTATCCATTTTTCACCCCAATTAGTTCTACTATTTATAAAAAGAGCTGTTTAGATAAATTTTAAATTAGGCCAATATGAGCCATCATGTGCTATCTTATTAACCTTATTGTTTTATCATATTTTGTATAGCTATAAATTTTATTAATTTTG